CGGCCATCGCAGGCCTACGCGCCCCAGGCCCCGAAGCAGCCTTTGCGGGGATGGGGGCTCTTCCCCAGCTGTCCCATGGGGGCCACTCCCAGGCCCCCTTCACTTCGGGCCACTTCATGGCCCCGGGTCCACTGCCCAGGCATTACCCGCCGGCCAGGGGCCCAGCCAGCACTGGGCAGGGGCCATTCTCCGGCGTTCGTACCCCAGGGCCCCAGCACACACATCCCCCCAGCACCTCCCGGTCTCCGTTTCAGCCCCTCCGAGGGGTTATAGCATGGGGCAGCCGCCCCCCAGCAGCGGGACCGTCTTGACAGGCCACCCCAGCGCCACCCTGGCGCTCCGGCCGCCCCCTCTGGGCCCGGCTCCCCTGGGGCCCAGCCCTTTCCCCCCGCAGGTGCAGGGGCTCCGGCCGGCCACCACCACCGTGGATAGCATCCAGGCCCCCATCTCCAGCTGCACGGCCCCCCGAGGGGTGGCTCCCCCTGTTTCCCAGCAGCACTGGGTGGGGTCCCTGCCGCAGGGGGGCTTTGGCAGCCCCCAAATGGGAGCCCCCGTCCCGTTCCCCTACGCCCAGACAGGAGGGCCTCCCTTCATGGCCCCTTTCCCCGCAGCTCAGCCCCAGCAGAGCTTCTCCGCTCCCCGGCATCTCCAGCCCCTTCCGGACCGACAGGCGCGCCCCCAGCCGGTGGCGGGGCAACCAGCGGCCCCTCAGCCGTACGCCCCCCAGTTCCTGGCCCAGGCACCACAGCTGGTCTACCAGCACCCCTTCCCCCCACCTCCAGTCTCCGGGCAGCAGGCGGGGACCAGCCAGGGCCCCGCTCGGCCTTCCCCGCCTCCTGCCAGCCCAGGGCAGCTCCCGGGCCAGCTGGGGCCCCAGCGCTATCCGGGGCCAGGCCCGGACCAGCGGCCTCTGGAGGCTCTTCCTCCTCCTCCTTCAGGGGCTTTGGCCTTCCCCACCACCGTGGCCAGGGGCCCCAACCTCCCGAGGGCCATGCTGGGGCCCTCCGGTCAGCCGGCGCCACTCCACCCTTCCTCGCACGCGGCTCTGCAGCCGGGGGCCCTGGCCCAAGTCCCCTTCAGCTCCGTTTCCCAGGCTGCCCCGGCTCAGTGGTCAATGCCAAGATCAAAATCAAAATATATCTTGCAGACCCCTCGGAGGCCCCGTTCCTCCACCACCACCAACAACCGAGCGCCTCCACCGACGACCTCTTGTCCTCCAGCCCTGAGAGCCAGCACGGGGGCCCCAAGGCGGCCGTGGGCCAGCCCCTCCTGCAGCCCACCAAGGCCGACGCCAAGGAGGGGCTGAAGCCGAAGGCCGTGCAGCTGATCGAGAACGACCCTTATGAGAAGCCCGAGCGCCTCCGGCGTCTCCTCTCGGAGCTGGAGCGCTTCCAGGAGGGGGTGGCCTCTCTGGGCAAGCCCGGCGAGCTGGACAGCCTCTGGAAGGAGCTGCAGGAGGCGCAAGAGAAGGACGCCCGTCAGCTCTCCATTGCCATCGCCCGCTGCTACTCCATGAAGAACCGCCACCAGGACATCATGCCTTACGACAAGAACCGCGTCGTCTTGCAGTCGGGCAAGGACGACTACATCAATGCCAGCCGGATCGAGGACCTCTCCTCCTACTGCCCCACCATCATCGCCACCCAGGCCCCGCTGGTGGGCACCGCCTCCGACTTCTGGCTCATGATCTACGAGCAGAAAGTCTCCGTGGTCGTCATGCTGGTTTCGGAGCAGGAGATTGAAAAGGTAGCTGGGGGGGGGCGGCATGGCTGGGAGGTCGGTGCAGGCAGGTGATGGGGCTGGCAACTGGATGTG